CTTTCCTATTATTAGTATAAAATGCCAAACGGTAGAGAAACAATCTTTTGAGCCACAATAACGCTTAGTAACTATCAAGGTATAAAACACCTAGTGGTGGACTTCGAAAAACGAACGCAAATGGATCAGAGTCACCAAGCTCAACTAAATTATTATGTCCTATTACTGATAAATCTTGATTCCATCTTACCTAGCAGTGATTGGAAAACAATCCTAAGTATTATTCACCCCTAATCTCCAAAACAAGGCAACTCATACGCAACTCTTTTCCAATCAAAACATTTTTATACGTTTTCATTGATGGTATTTACAAAAATGTCTATGAAAGAAAGGAGTAGTAAAGGCATAGGCCTGTGATAAGGAAGAACACTCAAAAGAATGTTCAGTACTAACAAAGGCGAGTAAGAAGCGGGTAATACGTGAGCAGAATTGTATTTCTGAACTCGTGATTGCTGGATCTACGGTCAGACTAGTGCGTAATCCTAATGCAAAGTCTTTATTATTCGAAAAATAGAAGACAAACTATTATGAGAATAAAATCCTAACGGTTTTATGCACAATCCAAAACAAATTGGAATATGGTGATAAGTTTATTTTCAAAAAATCTGTGCTAGAAGGTAAATCCAGCTGCTAGAAGTTCCATATGTACTTTTTACACAAGCTCATGTGCTTTTGCTCATTTCCAAGACTCTTAAAATATATTCTGTTTCTGACCCTTTTGGGTTCATGAGAAGTCAATAGCACTGGAAACACTACGCACGGAACAACATAACACACATTTTCTCAACTGATACTCTTATAACCAAACAAACAAAATTAAATTAGCCAACTCATTTAACAGTTATTTGGGTAAAAGCTACACTCTAATTGAAAGATTTAATGACACTACGCAATCCCCCGGACCGAAGTAGATGGAATGGGGTTTGGATCTTGGTCCTAGTGGCTGAAAATCAAACGACCTAACCATAAAGCCACTGCTTTACTACTGCAAAACAATGAGATTAGAAAACGTAAGATATATGTGCATACGCTTACTTCAGGAGCAGAACGTTTGTTTTGCTTGATGTAAAAACTAGAAGACTGCTTGCTAGCATTCGACTCCTCATCTTTAAGCACACATGAAGCAGGATGTGAAGGACTAGTAGTTGGGGCAGTCGACACTACAATAGATTGCTGTAAGGAACGCGTAGTCTGTGGAGGAGTTAGATTCAATAAAGGCAGAGATGGGAATCCTGGAATATCCTCAGCCATAATAGACCAAAGAGGTTGAAGCTGCAAAGTTTCAAGAGATTTATATGGAAAATCAATATTTTGGCAAAGTCAGGTTATTAATTATAACTAATTATCACCAACAAAACGCTCTCAAAAAGTCCACAAAACATGGAGTCATGACCAGCAATATGACAAACAAGAGGATAGCACAACCACAAAAATAAATCAATAGGACAATGACAAAACAAACACTCGTCTTTGATGAAGAAAAAGAATACTTATGACTTCACACAATCACAATACAACGGTTATCTGACCTATGAAACAAAGTGCACACTTCAAATGAGCAAAACAATCGTGATATAAAAATTAAGAATAAATCAGAAACCAGGTACAGACCTGCCATACATGTTGTAGGAGGATTTGACTATAAATCCTGGTAGTTGAAAATATGGAACAGGTGCTCGGATTAACTCAAACTAGTATTATTGTGACCTTCCACATCTAGATATTATTACGGATTTTGCAATGTGACAATGTTACGAAACTTGAGTCTATGCCCATTAACCTGGTACAAAACGATAGCATAATACAATAAATACCGTGATAACTACCCATATAATTGTCGTTTCCTGAGAAGTAAATGCTCTTTTCAAAGTTTCAACTCCTTTGTTTTTCCCTGTAACTGCCATCGTTAAAGTGTTGGTGTGTAAGAATCGTCCACTTTATCTAATCGTATAGACCTGTTCTCACATTGAAGGTATTTTCCGATCGTTGCAATCAAATTATACAAATCATAACTTCGCGAAAAACGAAATATGACAACTATTTTCGAAAATTTGTCTTGCAGATACACCTAATAGCAAAGCATTTTATACGTACTGATTTTTAATAACAGAAAGATATCAATATGTGTTCGGCAAATGAAAAGCACAGTATTCCAGTTTATCCGTAATTTCGAAAAGGAAATTTTCTGATTACAATCATTTAAAAAATCCTGATTTCAATATGCTATTACTAAGTTGCTCAACAAAAGAGAACTGAAAACTTGTTGAATACATAATTTTACGGGAAACAGAGTGAACTGATGTAAAGAATAGAGAAATATTACTTGAAGCTACTTGAAGTGACACAGAGCTGTGAATGTTAAAGGTTGCAAATAAAATTACTATCTATTAGAACTACCAAAGTCGGTAAAATACTGTGCGCAAAAATGGCATTAAGATAAAACAATAGAAAATGTCATCCAACACTAATCATAAACTATTTACAATTGGAGGATGACATTATAACCAATTATATACCAAAAAGGTTTTGATTAAACCGCATAGCCTCGTTGTTACTTCTTTGTTAGATCACCCTGAACCATTTTTGATGTAACTAACTGTTATAATCTCTTCCTTCTTACGGTTAATGACCCAGCTATTCCTGTTGCTTAGTATTCTCGGACACCGATTCACTCGACAAGTCCCCAAATCAGAACACGGTTGAACAGGAAAAAGATTATATTCCAAATAGCAAATCAGAAGCCAGTAGGAAGCACAATAGGGAAAAACGTCGGTATATTTATAGCTTTTACATAAGAAGATTCCAGAATATTCTCCGACTATCGACTAGTGCTGATTGGATAAGAATCAGCCAATCAGCGTGCACCAAAACAATCATGCATTGAGCATGCTTTAATCTAGTCTATGTCCCGCTAACACCTCCCCTCTGAGCAGATTCGTAGGATCTGGTGCTAGGGTCCAACTGCGACTGAGTGACTGGCTTGTGCTTTCGATTAGTCCATCGTCTAGGCAATGAAGAATTATCACTTTTTCCTTGCACAGAGACTGACATGTCTGTTCCCGGCGTTTTGATTTTTCTTAAAAAAAGTATGCATAACTTTTAATTCTCCAACATTCTCCTCCTCCGCGAAACAATGTCGGATCCTTATATCTCCAAGTTACAAATAATAGGACTTTATTTAAACGACGTTTCTCGCATTGAATGTCGGATCCACTAGAAACGACTAGATGATAATGAACGACCTTTGATTTGAGGTCAAAGTTTAATTCTTCTGAACCATTACTTTCAAATCCATTAGGAATTTCATCAGTGGATAATGGATCATTACGGAAATCATCATCTAACAGAATTAAATTAGACTTTTGACCATAATTTGACTCAGCTGATATATTTTCCTGATTTTTATGAGAAATTTCATCAAAATAACATGCATTGTTCTGAGAACCCATGTCTGATACATTGTCATTAGAAATCGGATAAGCTGATTCAATATAAGTTTCTGTCTCACAATGATTTTGAGTAACATTCGGTATAATTGGGTTCGTTGTGTCACTGCAGTTATTTTTTGAATACGAGTCCCCATAGCTTTCTTGGTTAATATCACGTGGACCATAAATTTGTTCTAGCTGAAAGTTATTTTCAGAGCTAGACAGGACCAGTAGTGCTTCATTCAATTCTGGACTCCGGGCTTCATCTACAGGGTCTGACTCTTGATAATCTCGTATTGCCACAACTTTATGAGCATTCAGCACAGGATTTTCTTGCTGTGAGCCGGAAACGTTACAAATATTACGTTCTGATTCAGGTATAAAGGGATTTGAACCCTCCACTAGATATGCTTCTGAAATGTCTGTTACTGCATCATAAACAGATTTCTTATTTTCTGGTCGAGTGAAGAGTGTGTTCAATAGTTGTTGTTGCAAGGCTAACAACTTCTGCTGGTGCTGTAATATTAACCGCAACTGTTCTAAAGAAATCGTCATTTTTCTTTAGTTTTTCCCCGTCGCCACTGTTTTAATCTCTTCCTTCTTACGGTTAATGACCCAGCTATTCCTGTTGCTTAGTATTCTCGGACACCGATTCACTCGACAAGTCCCCAAATCAGAACACGGTTGAACAGGAAAAAGATTATATTCCAAATAGCAAATCAGAAGCCAGTAGGAAGCACAATAGGGAAAAACGTCGGTATATTTATAGTTTTTTACATAAGGAGATTCCAGAATATTCTCCGACTATCGACTAGTGCTGATTGGATAAGAATCAGCCAATCAGCGTGCACCAAAACAATCATGCATTGAGCATGCTTTAATCTAGTCTATGTCCCGCTAACACTAACCAGTAGAAACAATTAAAGCAGGACATATTTGTCTTATTTAATGAGACTTAAACACCAGAAAGGATTTAAAATCCAAAAATTTCAAGATGAACCTAGATGTTAGAGCTAATGTATACATCATGCCATGAACGTTAAGATATAACATATTCGGACTCGTGATTACCACAAAATGCTAAACTCTCAGAAACGACAAAAGATGGTCAGTGGTACTTTCAGAGTTCGATAGTCTGAAATGACGAGATAAAATCATGTATTCACTCCTGATGTAATCCATAATCTAATATGACTAAATGAAAACACGTCTAGGAAATAATAAATAACTGTTTTTTCTCAGAGGGTCCATTCACAGTAGTAGTCTTCAGTGTCACAAACAAAAGACGAGTTGTACTGAAGTGAACAAAAATTGTGGGAAGTAAGTGTCCCACTTATGTCTTCACAATTCTAGCCACATGTGATAAATTCAGTGGGAAACAGGAACTAATTTGGATAATCAGACAAAAAAATTTGATTGGTGCTAAATATATATATATATATATATTCCCTGGAAAAATAAGTAATAACCGGATGTACCAAAGCAAACTAAGAGGACATCAAATATTATCTTACTCAATCTTTACATCCTCTCCCTATAAAAGAATAACTAGAAAAGCTATGATGATATTTTAAGGAACTAAAGCATTTTTATATGATTTATACTAACAAGCTAAAAGGAAACATGAAAACTATACACAATAGCTACAAAATAAAATACACAATATTGAAGTAAGTATCCAACTGAAACAAATTAAGGAATGGGTAAGGAATAAGGTAGAACTAGATAGACATCTGAAACCATTTTCGTCATGATGGGCTTATTCCCTAAGTTACAATCGACGTAGAGCCTGATACAAATGTGTGTTAGCCCAAGTGACCATACTATACCACGACAGAGATGAAATAAAAATATTTAAAAAAACAGTGAAGGGATCAAAATGACGCAGTATCAATGAAAATGACTAAATACTGGGAATGATTCGAGAAGGGATGAAGAGGTATACAAGAAGAGATAATGTAAGAGTTAACAAAAATAACTGCGTCTTAACTACTACGTTAGGTTCTGAGTCATGTTATCCAGAATTTACAACCACTGGTCGAAAATATTACGCATACTCCAACTACCCAATCGGACAGCTAGTTTTAGTTTTTTAATATGCAATTCCTCACTAAGACCGCTTGACAGTAAATGATAAAGATCCACCACTTACTTCACTAATGACGTCATGATACATCTCCCCAGCCATTCGGTGGACTTCGTGATTTTGACTATTGTACATTCTTGCATTCATAAACATTAGCAAAAGATCACGAATGAAACGTCTTGCGATCTCAATGATAACTCGATAAGAAGAAACGGATGGATTTAGAGCAGAAGGCTGCTGAGAACTGATCAAGTAACTGAGTGACGACTCCATACGGCGCCTAAGGGACGTTAAGTCCACTGGCTCATAAACAACAGTACTGTACCCGGGAGCTATATCTTCAGTTACAGGATGCATAAACACATAAGCATGACGATGGCTGTACACCGTAGAAAGTGCTGATAGAAGAGATCTTCTCCATCGTCGAGCCACACAAACTGATGACTGAGATGTATCTGTAAGTTCATCATTATTGAGACTGGTAGATATTGAGGGACTGAGAGCTATTAAATTTGAATATGAAAACGAATAAGTCATTATTAGTAAACGATAAAAGAGACATCAGCGTACGTCAATAAAACCCTCCTGAGATACAAATCTCTCATAATGAGTACAAGATACAAAATTGAATAAATTATGAGTGTATCAGTGTATTGACTGAATAAAATTTATAACAATGAAATAAAATAATACCTGAAGTGAACTCTCCCACTTGGTTTTGATAAACAGGAGCAGGAGTCGATATCTTCCTCTTTGTATGATTATGTTTCCGGTTCAGATTAACGGCTTTAAAGGATGGTGATTGAGTTTCCGCAAGACTTAGTGCAGGACTTGAATTAAGGCTCTGAGTAAAGTGCGGAGAAGCCAGTGTTTCTGAGTCACTTACAAGAGCGGAACTACTAGGAGTAATTGGTTCATCCAGGATCTCCAAACACTTGGAAGGGCTTGTTTGCATTCTTATTTTGCTTGAGTCACTATCTAAGTTATTAAGCTGTTCAGAAGCTCTGGGTGACTCTTCGACTTTGACTTCTTGATTATGGCTAGTTGTAACCTTCGAAAGTAAATACGCAAGAAATCGAAATACAAATTACCATAGCGTTTATTCGTAAATAAACTTTCAACAAGTTAAATTATATGTGAACATAATCGGTGTGTTTATTTATTAATGTATTTGATAGTATTCGCAACTTCGTAAAAATATGTACATCAAACAAATGTCACATTATTGATTCTAATCAAGAACAGCAAGTTGAAGCTGACAATAAACATGTTACAAAACGATTTTGGAATGAGTGATAAGCTAACGTAATACACACTTCTGAAAGGTAAAGAAGTGATCTAAATTCTTCAGTACATTATGCCTATATCTAGTTATACATCGCATGTCGATGAAACTAAACATTTTGATGTAAAATATCACTAAAAATAGATACACAAAAAGAATGAATAACTTTGAAGTAAGCAATAATTTTGGTGGCTCTTCGGTATTTATGCAGGATATACTATCAAATCACAATAAACCAAAAGAAAAAACAGGAACGGTTGTATATGTATACCTCTGAGTGAGTCTGGATGGATGATGTAGTATCTAGACTTGAGATTTCATCATCATGTCCTTCGAAACCCAGTCTTTGTGAAATAATAGCTATCAGTAAAATGAGATAAAATAAAATTCAAAGAAAATAGTGAAAGTGATTTGTAAAATAAATGGGTAGAAGTCTAGGACATGCTCACAGAAACCATACTTACCCCAAAGCTAAAGAGCATAACAAGTAGTTCTTAAAGTTTTAGTAGAGAGACATTACCCAACATCTCTTCTCAGTTCTCGTATTAACTTCCGCTTGTTAAGTTACTCTAAAGGTCAATTATTGATCCCACAAGTCCTGGGTTCGATCCTTGGTGTAGTTGTGGGTGTATATTCCACACGAATCCAATATTAGAAAAGAAATGTCCAGTACCCCCTGGTATTTTATGTTATCTCAACAAGTATTCGTCTGACAGAGAACACCTACAAATATCCTGATGAAAACATCTGGTGAACACATAATGTAGGTGTATCAAGTGGGTTAATTTGGGTGATCCACTCGTGTTCTCAAAGACTTGTGACTCGCAATTAATCTCAAAAGAAATGCAACAGTGCCGACTATTCAGCTATAATCATCTCAAGAATGGGGTACTACACATAAAGCACTACATTAAAAATACGTGCCGATTATTGTAAGCGACAACTTAGAACGATAGCATATTGTGATGTGGTCAGTTTCAAAACGCTTTCCTAACACCCTGCGTCCAACCTAACTATTACTTATCCAGTGATCCCAGCAGATGTGAGCAATATTTCCAAGGCATCTGAGGTCGAACACTAGTAACCTACGAGTATCTTCTACCCTTAATGGCCGTTTCGCAGCCATAAAGTAGAACAGGACGAACAGCTGCGCAGTATACTCGCCCCTTAATTGACAGATGGGTATCTCGCCTTCGCCATAAGTGATGTAAGTTAAGAAAAGCTAGACGAGCTTTTCGAGTCCGTGTTGAAATTTCGTCAGACACCAACCCATTAGGGTTGATCAGACTTCCAAGATAAATGCTGTCGACATGTTCGACTACTTCACTCGCTATCCTTAGTTCAGGTGTTGACGCAGGCTAGTCCTGGAACAACAACTTTCATTTAGAGAGCAAGAAACGCATCCCAAACATCCTAGCACTGTTGCTCAGTGCTAACAAAATACTGAATTTTATCAGTGTCCTCACCAAACAGGACTATGTCATCTGCGTATTCTATGTTGATAAGTGCACCTCTTGAAAGATCAATCCCCGATAATTCAGTCGACAAAAACGTTGCATCCATCACTAAGTCAATGATGGAATTAAACAAGAATGGAGATAATAAACAGTCTTTTCGGACACCTCTTGACGTTGCAAAATTAAATGACAGTTCGCCAAGAGCTTTGACTCGACTAGTAGTGTTCGAGTAAAGAGCACTCACAAGGTTTAAGCACTTCTGAGGTACGCCTTTCAGTGACACACTGTCACAGCACCTCCTGGTCTACAGAGCCAAATGCTGCTCCTAAGTCAAGAAGACCACCATTGTCGGACGCCGATAAGCACGCCTGTGTTCTAGAACCTAACGAATGGTGAATATGTGGTCGATGCAGCCACAACCAGATTTGAAGCCAGCCTGATTTTCTCGTGTTTGCAGTTCACGAATCTTTGTTAGGCGCTCAGTAATTATTTAGGCTAGTATTTTAGATGCCATGTTAAACTAATCCCTCTATGGTTATTACAGGATGACTTTGACGCCCTTCTCACACATATTGAGACCAATCAGATGTGATTATGTCCAACTCCCAAATTTTAGCTAAAATATTAGTCAACATAGCCGCTAGAACTGCACCACCATTCTTAAAGACCTCTGTAGTTAATCCATCTAGAGTAGCTGCTCTTTCTCGTTTCAGAATAGCTATAGCCTTATGAACTTCAGTGAAGTCGAAAGGCCTACTTCAATGTTTCATTAAGGCTGTTTGGAAATGGTGGGTAGTTGTAGAGTAGCTGAAGGCCAGTCGAACTGCCCCTTAAAGTGTTCCGTTCATCATTCTAAACGTCTGGGCTGAAAGTAGATAAGAGCGTCAACTTTTTTCCAAGTCGTTTCACTTACACTTGACTTCTTAATTCGGGTTTCTTTTATTAGTCTGAAAAGCTATCTGGTGTTACCTAAAGCCGCTGCTTTTTATATCTCTTTTGTTTTCGTTACCCACTACTGCTCACGGTCGTTCCTTATACCAATACAGTATATTCAAAAAATTGTCAAGTCTGCATGCATTTTATAATATCTTACAAGAGAATAAAGGGTCTGGATATTCATGATGGGAAACAATATGCTTGGTTGGTTTCGCACTCTTTCACATATCTTAAGAATGATCACTTTCAATCTCATCATTAGGTTTGAATGTCACATATGGATAGACTCAGCGCAATTCTATTTCTTTCACTCAATAGTTAATGGGTGAAAGTTTTGAAAAAGACAAACTGGTTCCTTCGATTAATGCACTTAGGAAACTGGACTTTACAGGAAATGAGTTACTACGATGCATATCTTTAGTTAAAATTTGAAGGCCAGGTATTCATACCATTACATAAATTAGTGCTTTAGTCCATATATGTTTGTAAAGGACTTTGAGAGGGAATCACAAAGATGGATAGTGCTTTAAAAAGACAACAGAGACTCCGACACATAAGAAATAGAACTCAAAAGTAGGTAGCAGGAGATACTGCTCCAGTGTTTTTTTGATAGGACTTGTACATAAACCCCATGTTTCTACGGGAAAAATGCATTCTTAACGAGTATTCTTGATAAGTGTTACCTTGAGCACGTATGAAGTTGGCTAATGATGATTCCTGAATGTAATCACATCTCTCTTCGAATAGCCCATAAATAAAAGGGGTTTCGACAGGAATCCAGATACCACCATTCTGGTCAATTGTTTCTTTCTCAATTTTAGTATTTGGACGTTGTAGTGTAGTGGGAAGCTTCTTGACAGTTCGGTCATTTTCCTCTGAAACAGGAGACAACGGTTCCATATTTAAACAACGACCTATTTTGTCCGGAATCCCGAGTGCACGACATCTTTTTCTATAGCTGAAGAGAAATAAATATTAGTAAAGAAAGCTCACGTCAGTAACCGGTCTGGAGGTATTTCAGAATATCGGCCTTGTCGCAACTTTTCTGCATCCTCTTCCTCAATCCTAAGAGTTGACAATAAACCAGCATTTAAGTCTCACTTCATAGCCCGCAAGATCTCCAACCGAGCAGCATGCAACTGCTCACGTCTCAATGTAGTATAATGATCTAATGAAATGTTTAAGAGTTGGCTCTCTGTTAAATCGCCTGGATTTCTAAAGAACTTTCAATCAAGCACAAGAGAATAATACCTTTGACGTGCGGATGCAATAATATATTTATATTGAAGCGAACAACTCTGTTCATAACCAATGAATTCAAATATATTAATTACCTGTTTTGAGAGATCCTGTACATTTTCATCTTTCAAGAACGTCTTGCAAGACGTTCTTAATGACTCACTGACAAGGTCCCAGTTTTTTCCATGTGTGAGAACAGCCCGAAGTAGGTAACAATTAGCACCCACAGCCCAATTCATTCGTCATATCTACTTACTGCTCTCATGTTAGCCAACCTTGAAAACAAATCGGGTACCTATTAACAAAACATTCATGATCCAATTTCATGACTTTGTTAACGGGCATTAAAAGTTGTTTCACCAGTAGTATGATTTTCCCTTAGAATTCAGCTTTAAACAGTGAATCTGATAACACTTGTTGGGGGAGGTTGTTTCAATCAGTAACACCCTGTAGGATACAAATTTTACTGGGTAAAATTCTGCACCTTCAGTATTCAGTAGTAAGGATAGTATGTTGGCGAACCTGTGTTAGTCCTGACAGATTGCTTTACAGTGAAGATCCAGCTTCTCTTTGAAAATATTCACTGATGGGGCTGATACCACTTATTCGGGTAAGGCGTTCCAATCATTGACTACTCGATGAGAAAAACGGGACCACACTTTAAGTTTATTAGATCGCGGTTTGTGAACCATCTTCCTATGACCTCGAAAATTATTAGTGCTGGAGGGAGCAAAATGATAAGACATAATAACACCTAAATCATAATTAAAGATACGAAATGCCAGTATAAAGTCACCACGCGTCCCACGATACGACAAGGGGGAAGGGTTTAGGCGTTCTAAACGCTCATCTTTAGGGAGTCTAGAAAGACCCTTCGCTAATTTCGTTCCCACACGCTGCTTGGATACAGTACTCCAAATGTGGTCTTACATATATGGGATATAAAGTTCGAAACGTTTCCTCGTCAAAAGATTTGAACGCTCGGCGAAGTGACCATAACGCACGAAAACCTTTGACAGCGGCTGCTTCGCAATGCGTAGTTGTTTTTAAATCATGACGTATCACCACCCCCAAGTCTTTATGTTCTTGAACACGTGTGAGAGGTTTACCCTCAATAGTATGACGGTAACTATTGCCGTGACCGATGTGCATTAGCGCACTCTTCCTAGCATTTATTTCTAAGCCCCACTCTCGAGCCCATCTAACTAAATCATCTAAGTCAGCTTGAAGATCCAGATGATCAGCCTCACTTTTTATTGTTCTCCAGATTTTTACATCATCTGCAAACAATAATGTCGACGACCTAAGCAACAACGGTAACTGATTAACGTAGAGAAGGAAGGGCAGAGGGCCTAAGATGGTGCCTTGGGGTACACCACTTTTGAACGGCTTCCAATCGGATAGCGCTCCGTTGACCCTCACTCTCTGTTTACGGTCACATAAGAAGTTTCCTATCCACTCATGTACAGTACCTATTATTCCGAAGCTTGAGAGCTTCTACATAAGTCCCAAGTGTGAAACCTTGTTAAATGCTTTGCTAAAATCTATGAATATCACATCGACAGACAGACCGTTATCTAGGGCTGCTGTCCAATCGTCTCTCGCAATAAGTTAGTCAAGCAAGAACGCCTGTTACAAAATCCATGTTGCTGGGGAGCTAGCAGATTGAGTGAATCTATGTGGCTTAGCAACCTAACCCGAATTATCTTTTCGAGTAACTTAACGACTATGCTAGTTAGATACTATCTGTCGCTGACCATCCTTAAATAAAGGACTGACTATAGAGTCTTTCCAATCTTCAGGGAGTTGAGCGAGTGAGAGGGACATGTTGAAGAGTGTCGCGAGCGGTTTTGAAATAATGTCCGCAAGAGATGACAGCAATCGTGGATGTAGCCCGTCAGGGTCCGGTGTCTTAACAGGTTTGAGGTTCGTTATCAACGGAATGACAGTTTCCTCAGTCAGCTATACAGATTCGATGGTTGTTAGCTCAGTGTGAGTGACACAATTATTTGTTACAATAAACGTAGAGTAGACTTCGCTAAAATAGTTTGAAAAAGTCTCAGCTTTTGCCCGATCTGATTCAGCTAGTAAATCTGAATTTTCGTGTATCAGTAAAGGGGTAATACCATCACTACGTTTCATCCGCCGTTTAACATACGAAAACAATCGTTTCGGACAAGTACGGCTATCATATACCAACTGTCGTTCGTAAGTAGTGCGGGAATTAGCTATGATTTTCTTACAAATATTCCGGAATTTTCGGTACACACCCTTAAATGATGCGTGACCCGTCATCAAGAATAAGTCCCAGAAGTGTTTCCTACGATTTAACAGCTTCCGGGTTTCCTTATTCATCCATGGAGGGCAATGTGATAGCTTACGTGCTGACCATGGGATAAACGGCGACATTACGGACTCGAGTGTAGCCTTAAACTTATTCCATTCGTCTTCGATCAATCCATCCACGTCGACCGACCAATCAGTCAAGATAGCACAGTTTCCGATTTCCGGAATATTAGCTCGCCAGATATTGGGACGGGGTGGAGCAGATACAAATCGTATACCATGTGTCTTAAACTTAAAGTGAAGTGTAGTGGCATTGGACAATAGCCACACAATCCACAAGCTGTGAACACGAGACTACTCAGAAAATAGATATTCAATATTTAACTTGGGGAAATACCTAACAATGAAGAAGGCGCGGAGAATGAATTGAAGGGATTGGAGTTGATCGGATGGCATGGCTCGGCCATGCAGGCGTGGTCCATCTGAATGTTACGTTATATCTTCTATTCATATTAAATATATTGTTCCTTCTCTAACCTAACCTTGTTCTACATCATGTATTGGTAATTGATACGATACAGTGAGTTGGTGTAGTCGATGGTGTGACTTCCACGTAAGATCTTATAGATTAGGCAGTTATATCATGACAAATCTACAAATTTAGGATTAGGTCTATTATTAAAGCAGTACTAATATCATGGTAGACCATAAATTCTACATTGGTGAGCCCAACTAAAGAAACGCAACCTATTATTATTAATCCTTATTTCCACTTCAACTTTCTCGATCGATTTATATTTATGTTAACCCTGTATTCTAATAGTCCTCTGATTAATGCTCACATGTATTATCGTAATATTATATTGATTAGTCCTCATGACAAACTAGCTCAATCGATAATAAAAACCGGTCGTCTATATTAACTAATTAGCTTTGATGGTTCGTTAACAGGCTGTAATAGCATTTACCTGCTTCAGCGACATAGTCTTGTTTAAACATCAAGCTCTAGCAAATATGACCTGTAAATAGCGTAAATATACATTGACTAACAATGCGATCAAGGACTAAATAGTTATCTGGATCTAATTTTTAGTGTTCCTTCAACTCATCATGTTCTAAACTATGCACTATCCTGTAATATCTTTTCTTCCGACCACTGTCTGCCTAATTTCATATTTTCGAGTTCCATTGCCAAACAACAAGGATGACACATCTCCAAAAAATACGGTGAGTTCCAGCTCTAAGTTTTCTGCAATCATAAGTTCATTTTAGATGCCACACACAATTATCTGGATTCATTCGATTGTTCTGATCAGAGCGAGTGGCAAAAACCTCAACAGCATCAAGCACCCTGGGATTAATTGCCATACTGCATGTTTTATTCTGGATGCTTTTGGATCATTACTACTCCTCACGAATGGCGTTATATATGTCGTTCACTGAATAATCTGATTTTCAAAAATAATCCAGGCGAGTTCAACTATTTTACTTAATGATTTTTTGTACTTAACATATATATGTTTTCCAGTTGCTTTTTCCATAAATTTGTAAGTGTCCCTAGGTTAAATGCAGTAACTTCTTATGGAATGTTTATAACGCGTCATATTCCTGCCTGAAGTTTCACAAGCAGTCTTAACTTGGAATTTATTTATCTGATCATGTTCATTATTCTTAAATTGTCATATACGTCAACAACCTGCTTGTCAACCTGGCCCGCACATACGTTACACTATATCTTCATGTCTTCTAAATCTAGAAATCATCTGGATCGCCTTTAACATTTATCAATAAACCCATCATAGTCGTTGTTGCTAATCGTATTTGGCTTTATGGATTGATTTATCATATTAGCAGCCTAAAATGCGAACATAGTTTAGATAATAAGATTAAAAATTTAGGTACTATCAACTGCACTAGTAAAATAACTAAATCCTCAGGTAGCTGTTAGCTAAACAAATGTTTAAAATCAAAACTCCGTAGCCTACTAGAATTAACACTAGACGAATCTTTCTGAATTGAAATTTATAATTAAATTAGGCGTCTCGGATTCTTTAACGTTATAAATTTCTGATAATCTCGAATCACCTAAAGCAACAATACCTATTTTTCTACTGACTAATCCTCAATCAACACTATAACTAGTTAAATTTAATAGTTTCAGGATATCGTCATAAAGCATTGTCATGACTTGACAATCACGTAATATGACTGATAAAATTAATGAAACTATTAACGAAATCGGTCAACAAATTGACTTATAATTACCATTAAATGGTGTTGTTTTCTTGGTATCTTCATCCATCACAGATGATTACAGTATGTTTCTCTCTCAGTTGCTCATTCAGTAAATATCTCAAAACCTTGTCAGTCTAATTGATGGTTTAGCGACACAATCATGCATGCAAATAATCAGTATAAGCAGTCGAGCAAATCTCCTGCAAACTGAAAACATCAATGTCGAATTTACCCCAACACTGACTAAGGTTCAAGCCATTATCATAGACATGAGTTGGGAGTGTACTCCCCTTGGTTACAACTTATGTACTCCCTGATAATCACATGAGCATCACTCACTATTAATCATCTTGTAAAAGCTTATTTAGCCGAATACATCTTGCAGCACCACATCACTTCGTAATATGACCCATAGGCTTAACTGATTTTAATAACTTATAACCACTATATCTCAATTAAATCGTATTCCGCCTTATGATAAACTGCATACTTGCAACTAACTTGTGTGCCCAATCAGCCAGCAAGTATAAATATAAATAAATAGTCTGCCGCAGATCAGAACATTGAGTCCAGAGCATGTCTCTTACGAATACACTCATGTTTAACGATTTGTTCCTAGCTATCTGTCCAAAATCCATATAATTATCACTCATGTATTTAAATTTTTTTTGATAACCATTCATGTGTATTAGTAGTATTACTAAATTCTGTCACGGTCAAGTAAAAGTGAGGTTGGGAAAATCTCCCCGCAACTAAATAAACC